GGGGGGGGGGGGGGGGGTGGCTGCCGAATGGAGGGGGTGTGAGCACATCGGGTTTTAGCAAGACTCTACCCCTCTTTTCAACCCACCGGTGAGGGCTGTGCCAGCCCAAAAAAAAAAACCCAGGTCCCTGGAGCTGGTGGGAGCCTGTCCCTGGGAAGGGGAAGGGAGGGATGGAGACGGCCTCTCCCTTTTGCTGGGCGTGTGTCTGGCTTAACGAGATGGGTGTCTCGCCGCCTATTTATCGTGTTGGTAGCTAAGTGTTACATCAAAGGACGGAAAGGCTTAAATGAGTTCAGACCATCTGCTGTCTCCCGTGTCGTGGCCCCCGGGATGGAGGCTTGTGAGCCTACGAGCCCCGGGGGACCCACTTGCTAAGGGCTGTCACTCTGATGGATAGCTGATTTCTCTATCCAGGAACCTCCAGGCCTGAGGAGATTTTTTTTCCTCCTGTCTATTTATGCTGGGCAGATCCCCTCTGCGGGCGCTGAGAGGCTCTTGCTGCCTTTACCTTGCTCATAGCAGCTCTGGACACTGAGGGGTGCCTGCGCCCGGGGTGAGGGTCAGACCCCAGAGAGGTACCTCACACCAGGCACCCGAAATCAGTGGCCTCACAGGGAAAGGCGTGTGCCCTAAATGGTTCCCAAATGCTGCTCTTTCCTCGAGGCGCTTGAAGCCATAATTGCGAGCAGAGGGGTGCAAGTTATTGCTGAGGGGAATGATCTCCAGCTGTCGGCAGCGTGAACATACCTGTGTTCAGGAGAGCATTTCTCCCTGCACCATGTTTTATGAGCGAGAGGCTCTTGCTGCCTTTACCTTGCTCACGGCAGCTCTGGACACCGAGGGGTGCCTGCGCTCGGGGTGAGGGTCAGACCCCAGAGAGGTACCTCACACCAGGCACCCGAAATCAGTGGCCTCACAGGGAAAGACGTGTGCCCTAAATGGTTCCCAAATGCTGCTCTTTCCTCGAGGCGCTTGAAGCCGTAATTGCGAGCAGAGGGGTGCAAGTTATTGCTGAGGGGAATGATCTCCAGCTGTCGGCAGCGTGAACATACCTGTGTTCAGGAGAGCGTTTCTCCCTGCACCATATTTTATCAGCACCTTCAAAAGTAGAAAAGCCACCTTTTGTTTTTTTTTTTAGCCCGTCTTTCTGGTTTAGATGGACTGAAAGCGATGGAGTGAAGGACACTCCGTGATGAAGATATTTCATTGCTCTCCCTAGGAAAGTGCTGGAGGTGGAAATATCTGCCAGGGTTCACTTCATCGGGGTGAATTAGGCTTGATGTGGACTGGGGAGACAGAGGCCTTTCCTGCAGTCACTTTGTTGGCCCCTCCTGGGATTGAGCAGCCTGGTTGGGGCAGGGAGCATCCTTTCCAAGGCAGATCTTGGTCCAGAGAAGCTTCATGTCCATGGGAAGGCCATCCTCAGTCCCTGTTTCTAAAGATCATGATGTTTCCACTCTTTTGACTCGGTAACCTGCTGCAGGAACATGGAACCACGGTGCCAGCCACAACAGTGGGCACCAACAGGTTCTTGTCCCCTGTGAGCACCTGGAAGGGTCAGGGTTTAGCACCAGCTGGTGGTGGGTAACCAGGAGCGGGATGTTGGGAGAGGAGATGTGTTTTCTGCTCTTCCCATCCCTGTCCTTGCTGTCCCCAGCCAGCAGCTGATCAACGAAGGGCAATGAGGGGCGGCTAAACTGGGAGCTCTGGTGTTCGGCATGAAACATCAGTGGTGAAAAGGAGAGGAGTGGAAGCTTCACTCAAGCTTCTGCACAAGCCATGTCCCCAGACATGCGAGGCTGCCTGGAGGGGCAGGGAGGAGCTGCTATAGAACATTTCAAATTTGGAATATTTGGAAGTGTTTAAGAGAGAAAGAGAGAACAAGGAGAGCAATAAGCAGGTGACTGCCGTGTTGTGAGCTTTTGCTGCACATCCTGTTTAATTTGATGTTTTTTTCATAAACTCCCAGCTCGTGGAGTCCCATTGATGTGCAAGAAACATAGCTCTGTGTGATGTGTAGGGTGAGGCCCTCACTTACACGAGTGTGGAGGAAATCTCTGTTCTAAGTGTGCACTTAGGAGCTTTGAAGAAAGTACAAAATGCAGAGAGACATCCTTCTCGGGCACTCACTGCGAATTTTGAAACGAAGCCTGAGCTGTTGCTCCAGAACCAGCACGGTTTGGGGCTGTGCTTGCAAAACCCTCCTCTGTCCTGAGGGCCACGAGGTGTTTTGGGGCAGGAGTCAGGCAGGTGGGAGTCCAAACTGAACAGGGTGGTTTGAGGACAGCTTAGAGGCTGCCTGGCAGGGTGGGGGAGCGGGTAAGTGGCATTTTAGGGACTTTTTATAGAGCATAAAGGTC